AAAAAAAATAAAATTATACTAAACAAAGCTTTAACACAGTATATGAAGGTTTTTTCTTAAAAAAAAATGTATCAATATTCTCTTCACTTTGCTTTCCCATCAACATCCATCACCCCGGAAATTACCAAAGTTTCAAAAAAGGATCATTTTTACTACTATTATTAATTTTTTTCATTTTAGGTAAGGAAATGAAAGGCAAGAAATATCAGATTTTATAGATAAACCCAAATTCTGCATTCCAAATTTGTCAGTTCCCATCAGAACAAGACTCTAAACAAAAAAAGCAGCCTTGATTCGTAACGGATACGGAAATGTTATAATGCCATGGCTACAAATTTATAATTAGAATTTAGAAGAGATAATTTTTATGAAATTTTTAGTGCAAGCATAGATAACTTATTTGTAATTAAATTGTTAGTTCAAAATACTTTAATTGTAAAATAAAAAATTTTATAATTATAATTTAATATTAATAATTGTGACGTTTTTTTTATTTTTAAATATTTTGTCATGGGACCAGATCAAATCGTTGCTATGAGGGAGGGAGGGAAAATAAACTTTATAAGTGTGACTAGAACTGCTTGGTCTGAAGGGTCAGGATTATTGTGACGTATACTTATATACGTAGTATTACATTAAATAAAAATGATGGATTATAATGTTGCGTACAATATACTAGCATTATTTTCTTAATCGATGTCCACAGGATTGAGTTAAAATGAATAAAATACTCCACCCCTGTTTTAATTTCAATCGGCATACGGCGAGCAGGGGCGCCCCGGCCCCGGTGTCGGTATAAACAAACAATTGGCCGTTCCAGTCTTTATTAGAGTCAATCCTTCTGGAACCCCAAAATTACTCCATTCCTGTCTATAAAAGAGAAAACCATAGATCCATTCTTCTTCAAATTTCTCTTCTTATTCCATTCAAATCTCACTTACCCATTTCTTTCCTCATCATGGATTTGATTCCAAACCTTCCTCCAGACATCTCCCGTGAATGTTTGATTCGGGTTTCCCATAGTCAGTTTCCCAAGATTGCGTCCATTTGCAAAGCCTGGAAGACGGAAATTGAGCAGCCGGAGTTTTTACGGATCCGGAAGACAGCCGGGTTTGGCCAGAGATTAATTGTTATGGCCCAAGCTCGGGTTGAACCGAAGAGAACTAACGGTTTGTCAAAGTTCTGCTACCAGGTGTACAGGTTCAGCGTTTTGGATCTTGGGAGTGGTCAATGGGACGAGTTGCCTCCGGTACCCGGACTTCGAGATGGTTTGCCGTATTTTTGTCGGATGGCGGCTGTGGGATCGGAGCTTGTGGTGATGGGTGGGCTGAAGCCGGGGACTTGGGGGGTTTCTCGTTATGTTTATGTCTTTAATTTCTTGTCCGGCAGCTGGCGGCGAGGGGTTGATATGCCTGGTGTTCGACGGTTGTTCTTCGGATGCGGGTCCGATCGTGATCGGATGGTATACGTCGCCGGTGGACATGACAGCGACAAGAACGCGCTGAGGTCAGCGATGGCATATGACGTGGCAAAAGACGAGTGGTCCCAGCTGCCTGACATGGCAAGGGAACGTGACGAGTGCAAGGGGATTTTCCAGCATGGGAAGTTCCACGTCATTGGCGGGTACTGTACGGCAATGCAAGGTCGATTCGAGAAAAGCGCGGAAGAATTTGACGTGGCGACAGGTCAGTGGAACAACGTGGAGGAGGAATTCCTCCAAGTCAACACGTGTCCGCAGACATGCTCAGCTGGGGATGAGATGGATATATACATGTGCCGTGGAGGTGACGTGGTGGCACTAAAAGGCAACACGTGGAAGACCGTGGCCAAGCTGCCTGCTGAGGTGTGCAACACTGCTTACATAACGACGTGGCTGGGGAAGTTGATGGCTATTGGCTCCTCTAGATTTGGTGAGCCCCACAGAGCTTACGTGTTGGACTTGAAGAAAATTATGTGGACTGAAATGGAGATCCCAGCGAAATTCAGTGGTCATATTCAATCAGGATGTTACATGGAGATCTAAAATGGCTTAGGATAGTTAGCTATTTTCGATTTCCTGTATAGTTGATTTTGGTAATTTTCCTTGTTTATACATAATGTTATACGTCTTTTATCATTTTTCTTCTAGATCCTTTAATTAGAACAAAAAAAATTTTAATTATAATATTATATAATATTATAAACTTTATTATATAATATATCATTATTGTAATTTTAAAAAGGTTTAATACCATTTTGGTCCTTCAACGTTATGCATTGACACCAAAATTGTCCCTTAACTTCATCAAGTATCAAAATTATCCTTAAACTTTCATTTCAGTACCAAAATGGTCCTTTCAGTTAAATGAATATGTGGCATGTTAAGTTGCTAGAAAATTATACATTTTTTGAAAAAAATATTGATGTGGAAAAGAAAACATGCTTAAGTTGATGAAATGACACTTTTTTTTGTTTATGTGGCATTTTTATTTTAACAACAAATAAATAAGGGACTAATTATTATTAATTAATTAAAGTCATTTTCAAAATTAACTTTCTTCTTCCTTATTCTCCCGTTCTCCTTCACCCTTCCCCTCTTTCTCTCTCGTCCTTAGTCCTGTTCTTCTTCACTCTTCCCTTTTGTCTTAGTTTTATAGAACCAAATTCTTACATGGCGTAACCAAAGGAGTCAATACCGTACCGTACCCGTTTTGAAGGTTAACCGAAATGGAATAAGTTAAGATTTCGTTTCGGTCAAATTTCAGGTGTACCGGTCAAATTTCGATGTACTGGCCGGTACATCGAAATTTGACCGGTACATTATGCAAGAAGGAAAAAAAAAAAAAAGAAAAGAATCCCCAGCCAAAACAACGTCGTTTGGGCTGGGGGGTGGCGGCAGGATACCTAGGCGGTAACCCGATCAGGCGACGGCAGTCCCTCGGAACCAATAGGAGAGCCGCGGTGGGCGTTAGATCTGGCAGCCCTTGCGCGCTATACCAGAAATCCACCGGAGGAGAAAGAAGGCTGCCGGATCTGCACCGAACAGAACAAAAAACAACAAACAAACAAAGTAAACCAACACCGTTAAAAAAAAAACAAAGCAAACCAACATATAAACAAACAAACCAAAAAAACCCACACAAAACAAAAAACAAAGCCAGATCAGCAAGGGGATGGTGAAGATCCGAGGTGAAAGAACGGAGGTGATGGTGGCGATGGTGGATTTGCAGAAAGAAGAAAAATCAAGTTTTTTTTTTTTGGGTTTGGCAGCCGCACCGCCGCACCTCCTCCTTCTCCCTTTAAAAGAGAGGAAACTGGGGTTTTTTTAAATTTGGGTTTTGATGGGCTGCTCAATATTGGGCTGGGCTTATGAGTTTGTTTTAGTAAATTTCATCCTCAACTTTTTAATTTTTTTAATTGAGTCTTTTTCTTGTTTATTTTCCTCAAATTCTCCCCCAAATTTTTCATAAAATTTTTTTCTAACGATAAATCCGAAACAGTACGTGAAAAATTTCAATATCTGGTAAGTACCGTTCCAGTAACAAAATCGATACGCATGCCGGTACGGTATTGACTACTTTGGGCATAACTCTTTGTTTAAAAATTCTCCAAACCTTCCTTGAACTCAATCCTCCAAGTAAATTGACATGTAAAGTCTTGAGATGAACTTTGAAGAACTTTGAAGAACTTTGAAGTAACACTTTGATACTTAAATCAATAATACTTTTATATACTCAAAAAAGAGTAGTGAAAGCTCTAGGTTAGTACCCAGTAGTTGCAATAGATGACTCTCGGAGTGTTTATAGACCTCAACAAAATAATCAGAATATGACATGACTAACAAAACGAACATCTCAAAATAAGAGATTAGCTACATACGGTCTCATCGTACTTATCTTGCAATTGAAAAAAGGATAACTTCAACTTCAGTCATCAAGCAACTTAAGCTCAACTACATCTAATATGAGGCAATGGTTAACCTGAGTGACCCAACTTAGGGTGTCCAAGTTCCATGACCTCGAACCTATACTTATAGTTATGTAATGAGTTGTTTTTATTCAAGAATTTATTTGTAATATTATATATATTTATTTAATATTATATTATAATTGTAAGCTTATAATTTTATTTAAAATTGTAACTATAGTATTAACATTATATAACTAATAAAAAGTCTAAACCTTAAAAATACTTGTAAATGTAGATTGTTAATAAAATAAATCTAGCCTTGTTCAGCTATACTCCATTTAGTATTGTTATTGTTATTGGTTTTCGTCAAAATTAAAAAAACAAAAGGACAAATTTTCAAAATCAAGAACTAAAATTTAAACTGTTGCTAAATTTTTAAAAATCACGGCGGAAACATGATTCTAAATGAAACCTTGATGTGTGTGGCCTTTGGGAGTATAAAATTTTGTGGTCGGTAGTACTTCATAAGAAACAAGATCAAATCCCTGGAATTGGGGCATGTTCTGAGAACATTTGATTATATGTAATTTTTTTATTCATGTAAATCAACCTGCCACATGAATATTCAGCCCACCTTCGTTTTGCGATGTGGGGTGGGTCTGTTCTGTTATGCCTAGTCTGAATACATTTGACCATTTGACTATATGTTTTATTTTATTTATGTTAAAAAATATATATTTTTTTATTTTAGTTACATAATAAAATTAATAATATTTTATTTCTTATCTCACTCCACTCGTATGTCATGATATTTAAATTCAAAATCTTTTATTTTTAATGAAAAAAATAATCATTGAATTATTTAAGTCGTTAACAAAAAATAATTATTTTTGAAAGAGTGTTAATATAAGATAAAAAATTAAAATTTAAGATAAATAATATGATATAAATAAAATTATTAATGTATATAATATTATAAATAATTTCATAAAATAAAATAAATTAATTATTAAATAATATAAATTTATTTTTAATATTTTAAATAAAATAACTTATATCATATTATTAACCTCAAATAACCTCAAATTGTGTCGTTTATCATTATTCTTTTTGCAATTGTAACTACTCCGTATAACATATATCAGGATCTATTAGCCACTGCAATTGCTCGAGTCCCGTAGTCTTATTTTCATTCATGATAGCATCCATCATACTTACAGATATAGGCAGCACATGTATACCGACATCCGAGCTTACATTTAAAAACAAATTTTACCAATCAAAGGCATTTAATTCCTAGATAAAAAATTTCTACCAAGAAAAAAGCTGGATCAAATAGGCTTAAGTAATGGAATTTTGAGTTGTCTAAGCACAAATTCAAATTCAAAATCAATTAAAGAATGACAGTGTCCAGTTGTGATTTTACTTGCTTCTCATGCACTTGACCAGAACCTCTACCAATCTCTTGTACATGTGCTTCTTCAAATACATTCTTTCAACCCTTTTCCTTCCTTCCATCCCCATTCGCTTCCTTTCAGATGGGTTTCTTAACAAAAACCTGAGATTTTCAGCAAGAACTCTAGCTCCAGGATGCCCCAGAGGGTGAAGAAGCCCTGTTGCGTTTTGCTCGACAATTTCTTTTGTGCCTCCAGAGTCGGTTCCTAATACCTGTTGCCCATAAATGGGAAATGGGAAATGGGAAATGGGAAATCAAAAGTCTGTTTACTTTGAATAAATCCAATAAAGATGCATCAGCAGATAATCCAATAGAGATGCATCCGCAAATAATTCATCTGAATTTTTTATAAACCTAAGTACTTCCTGCCCAAAAACAAAACACCTAAGGTTGGGTTTGGATGAAGGATTCTAGTTTCTAAATGAGGAATTCAATGAACAAACAATAAAGCAACCACCTTTTCATGTCAAAAAAAGTTTTGGTTGTAATAAAAAGCTTGTCATTTTACGGTTTTTTGAAATCCCTCCAAATCCCCATTTTCCTCTAACTAAACCATAATGTCTCTCACTCCTTGACAAAAAGAGGAATTTGAATTCTTCAAATTTCTTATTATGAAATCCCAACTTAAAATCCTTCATTCAAACATAAACTAAGCACGTACAACTTCTCCTACCACATACAGGTTCTTGTAGATCAATAGATGTGACAGCTACAAATTCTTCAACCCCTCAAGTTACCAACAAGCTAATTTATTTATCATAATGAATCAAACCGGACATCAGTTTACATGATTATATGAATAAAATAATCAATTCAGTCCCAGCTAAGCAATAGTGCAATAATGCTCAGAAATGTGATGATGAAGCAGTTTCCTTTTTTTTTTTTTTTTTTCCTTTTCCTTTATTGGATCAGCAGCGAGGAAGCAATTTCTTGTTTAGGAAAAACAAGACATGCTAAAATGCTGCTTCAACTCACAAGTATATGCAAACATGTAAACTTGAATAATGAACATAAAGGAAAAAGAGACAAGCATTGCACGTTGTAAATAAATTTGACTACCTACAATAGACTTATTCAGAGACATTTATGCAGCAGGACAGACCAGTAGCAACTCCAAACCCAACTTCATATTAGGTGGAAGTAGAATGGAATCAGACAATAGGCCCTCTAATAAATATGTAAGTTATATACTCCATAGATCATTATAAAGTTATATCCATGGAAACCAAAAAATCTTGACATGCTCAATTACATCACAGCATGGAGTTTACCTGTGAAATAATATACAATGTCATCAACACAAGGATTGCTGAGGACTTGTTTAGGTCACATGCTTAAACTTGGAGAGAACAAATTTAAGCAGACTCAAAATGAACATCATCTACCAGACCAAATGAACAATTATTTAAAGAGACAGGAAAGATAAATGAGTTGTCCTACCGGAAGACCAAATGCCATCGCTTCAATTGTCACCCTCCCAAATGTTTCTCCTAGTCCCTGCATATGAATTTAGACATCATTATTTGCATCCCATGTAACTCATATTAATCTCAGAATACACTAATAGACATTAATCAGCGGTTTCAAATACAATGGAAGCTTCATAATTGAACTGAGTTAGATGTTTTAGTAATAAGCATTTCCAATCTATTGATATCATATAAATTTCATCATTTACACATAGAAAAATACATAACCACATCAACAAGAAGCAAATATTGGAAGAGATTCAACAAATTATGGCTGTATTAATTAACCAATGTGATACATTTCTAAAGCTCTAGTAGACGAAATCCCAAAGTTAACAAGGACAACTGTTTTGAAGTCATACTGTAAAGAGAAAGATGCTACTGAATTAGAACAGAATAAGTTTGATAAAACTTTCAAATCAGAACCAGAACGCTGAAGCTTTAATAACTTGTTGATTGGAACAAACTTTCTAAGAAACTTGAGGCATTCAAGGAACAAATAAACATATAACTTTTACTTGTATGGAAGAGCACTATCAAGAAACTAATAGTATTGGATCAAATGGCAAGATGGTACTCATTTGAAGGAACAGGAGAATATATATGTGAGCATGCTTGTTAAATTCCATTTCAAATCCAAGCAAATTAATAAAAAGGGGTTCCAAAAACTAGTTCAAAATGAAAAGTAGATATACTTCTAAACTTAGACAATCTAGTTAAAGTTTAAAAAAGGCTGCAATGATCAATCACCTGGGAGTTTATGACATAAGCATCTGCTGCAGAATACAGTGAAGCAACGCGTGTAGTTGCTGGAGTCCAAAGTATTGACTTTGATAAGTTTGAATGCTGCCTTAGAAATCTTAAAATTCCTTCAAAATAAAGTACCTTGTTGCTCTTAGATCCAACAGAACCAATAAGAACTTTGAGAGCCTGTTCCTGGGATGCATTTCTATCATTCAACATCCTCATGTTATTGCTGTCACTGCTCACAGCATGTGTCTCATTTACAGAGTTTACAAGACTTGATAACCTCAAATCTGGGGAGAACGTGTCAATATCATTTGACTTTTGGAGCAAACCCCTTAAATGATGCCTCAGAGACAAGGTAGAATGATCCTGACCAATATCCAATGGATTTTTCACTTTAAGATCACTTTTCAGAGGTTCTGGTTCAGTCAGCAAGGATGCTGATTCAAGAAGCAACAGCTGACCTTTTCCAGCATTTATACTACTCAGAGACATCACAAGCATGTCATTATTGGTCAAACCCATCTCTTTTCTAACTGCATCTCGCAACAACTGCTTATTCTCTATCATCTTCTCAGGGCTAACAGATGGAGTATTTAGTGAACATGCAATGCCAGCTACAAAAGCCAGTTCATCATTAACAGAAAGTGGAACAAGTGCAGGCTGAGACCTCAACTTAATATTCTCTTCCTGACACCAGGCAAGCCACTGTTTAGTCTGCAATTCAGATAGGAAAATAAGCATTTTCACTCGGTGAAGCACAAGCTTTGCCCGATCAAAGTACTCTCGCCTATTTTCCATGATCCACCAAGCAATTTGACTTCCACCAGCTGGAAAGTGAGCAATATATTGATCTGAAATAAGCACAATTCATCTGAGTTACACAACAGGAAAATCTGAGCAATGCAATTTGACCTAAACCCTGCTATGCCAGATGACTGTATCTAAGGAGAAAGAAAGTGAAAGATCAACAGTAAAAATAACAAGTAGAAAAAATAAAATGTCTTGTCATTGTCATTGTAAAAGTTGATAAATAAGATGTTAGCAAGAAAATGCATTATTCCTTTTCTTCTTTTGAGCAAAACATAGAAATAATGATCATTCTGCACCTAATCAATTAAATTTGTTTTAACAATATATTAAATAATAGTTGTTTCTCATACATAACATCACAATGGAAAAAACAGTTCCAATTTTTATGGAAAATATGCGTAATATGTTCCCTAACCTATCTTACCAATCCATGATGCACAAACAGCTGATCCTGCAATGACAAGGTCTGCCTTCATTGCAGTTTTGTAGCTGATATCTGCTCTGTCCTCAACCACCTTGATCTTTCTCCGTGCAAGCTCCGTCATCAGCCCACCCTTCCTACTGAGAACTACAGCAGAAACTGTGGCTCCACAGCTTAAAAGCTCTGTTGCCAACTCCATCATTGAAATTGGGGCACCAGTCATTGAGAGTTCATGGAATATCAACACCAACCTCCTAGACCAAAAAAGCCGTGCAAAGTCACTCTTCCTATCACAGGTTCCTGACCTTTTCTCAGGACTCCATTCTAAAATCCTATCCTCTATTGACCCAAATGGACCAACAAGTAAACCATAAGTAGTATCTTTCTTAAGAATATCTTGTTCTGATTCCTTTCTCTCATTTCCCTTAACATCCTCTTTTTCCTTCTGTTTATTACCCTTCTTAGTACGAGCTTTTTTACTCTTTTTTCTTGGAGGCACTCTCTTTATGGATGGAACATCATTACCCACCTTGGCCAAAACCACATCTATCTTTTTGCCATCAGTGAACCGTTTTACATCAGTCTTATTATTCACTACTGGCAAACTATTATTAGTAAGCAAATCCCGTCGTTTAACCTGTTCAGTGTCCAAAATCCATTTTTTTGGCTTACCTCCAAACCCCAAAAACTTCTCTGTATTATCATCACCATGAGCCCACCTTGATTGCACATAAAACCCAAGGTAAGTCCACAGAGTTATCAAAAGCAACCAATGGACTAACCGATTGCTTCGAAACCACTGTAGACCACCACCACCACTACTTCTAGCTTCTCTTCGTGGAGTTCGGCCTGAGTGTACTCTCCTAAAAGAAGGAGAAGGAGAAGTCCTAGGGGTTGATCTTCCAGACAAGTTTGACTTAAAGCTACCTGTCCTTATGGATGACAGTCCATTGCCAATGCTTTCCTCCATTAGCCTTCAGCTATATTATGTTACCAAAACATGCAATCCACATTCTTGATGAGTAAATTCCAACAGAAAATGAGCAAATCCCAAGACACCATGTCCATTCTCATGTCCTCAAAAATGATTCACAAGGAACTTTTCCCATAACACCATGAAATTTGACTCCTGAACTGCAAGATCATGCAATTGATTACAGGTTTGTCAGTCTTTAGATTGGAGTTTTAGCTAACAAATAAAAACTATTAAATTTGGTTGAGAAGCAAAAAGAGAAGTGGGAATGGAGAGTAAAAGACCATGAAGTCTCCAAACTTCATGGTTTCTCTCAACCTCTTAATAATTAAACACATAAATGAAGAGCATGGGATCATCAAGCAGTATTGCTCAAACATCCAAGAATAAAATGCAAGATCTTTATTTCCTTTTCCTTCTTACACTTTATAAAAAATCCTAAACTAGTAAATAACTAAACTAAAAATTTCCAAAAGAAATTAATTAAAAAGAAGAACTATGCTTCCATGTGTCTCAGAAACAAAATCTAAAAAAGCTTACCAAAGCAAAAGTCAATTCCTCTTAGGCTACAAACCAACATCAAAATCCACATTAACAAGAAGAAAAACAGATGATAAAAGGGTGCTTATTCCTCTATTCAGTACCTTAAATAGAAACCTCAATTAACAGAACTGATAGATTCTCAGCCATCAAACAGCCTTTAGAGTTAAAGAACCTACTTAAAACGTTAAGAAATCATGGATCACCTCAGTATCTAAACAAAAAAGTTAAAATATCAAGAAACTAATCAAGTAATAGTTAACTTTTTCTATTTTTATCTTTGTTTTCCAGATTTCACAACCAACCAAAACAACACCTTAAGAAAGCCATTTACAAATTCGTTATTCCAGTTATCTCTCAGAACATTTTTCGGATAAGTAAGAGACCTTCGTAGATGGTTTTGATATTTTAGAACAAGAACTAGTACCACTAAAGCAATAAGATCAAGAAATGTATAAGTCAATCTTTAATATTTCCAAAATGTTTCACCACCGAAGCTGTACTTTTAGAATCACATAAACAAAATCGCATCAAAAACTGCATTCATTCGATTTCGTTTCTCTGTTTTCCTCGGCAACCAAACAAACAATTTACGCTGCCAAGCAAGTAGTTCAAGAACCAAAAAAATTAAAAACTAAGCTATATGATCAACAAAGTATCTGATCACTAGTTTTCCAACTTCGGAAACCAAGAAAACAGTAAAATCTATCCATGAAAACCTAGGATCAGCAAGCGTCATAGAGATTGAATCTTCGCAACAATCAGTAGTTAACTTCGAAGCTGGAACTGTAAAGAATACTTACTTCCAATCGTCGATGGTAGAGACAGAGAAGGACAGCTCGCGAAATGCCGATCTCTGTTTTTCACGGAGGAGAGCAGAAAATGAGAGTGAAAAAAGTTGCAGAGGGGGAACCGGCGGAGGAGGAGGAGGGGGAAGACGGTTTCGTAAATTGCGGAGTTGTCTGAAATCTTTGAAGAAAGGGGTGGCACGTGCGAGTCAACTTCTGGGAACGGGGTGCAGCAATTTTTTGAACATGGTGGGGTCTTCTAAATTATTGTACGGTGATATGCAGGGAAAATAATATGGTCCCTCATTTGGTTGCCGTTCGATTTATTGTTGGGTCCACTGAAGAAATGTGTACTTTCAGATAAGCCAATGGTAGATTGACAAGTGGACGAGTTCAGTTGAGACATTATGCGAACGGGATGATTTTTGGCTCTACTTTTTCTGCTCTTTACGCGCCGTCGCTACTGTTGACTTGATTTGATTTGGTTTGTTTGATTACTGCCGTTGGATTTGGTTTATGGTTTTTTACCTGTAAATGGATTGGTTATAATTAGGATCTTGACTTTGCATTGCAACAGCAATGGTGGTACCGCCCACAAAAAAATTAGTTAAATTAGTGGTTATTAATTAAAAAATTTTGATTTAAGACTAAGATGGGGATTAAAACTTACACCATATCAACCGAACCCTTTAATGTATAAAAATTTAAAAAAAAAAAAAAAAAAAGGCATGGTGATGCCACGAGACGGTTAAAACTCACACAAATAATTTTTTATTTAACTCATATTTTATATAAAGTAGAATCTATTTATATATTACAATTATATAAAATTTTAATTATTTAACTCTTCATTTTTAGTAGTTGATATTTATTTATATTTATTAAAAATAAATACTTTTTTACTTAAAAAATATAACCAATTTTAAATGTTAAAAATAAAAAGATAATTAATTAAAATTTTATATAAATGTGATATATATATGTATGATTTTTGTTTGTAAATAAATTTCCTCCTCTTCTATATATTCTAATCATTATTTTGTAACGTTGGAATCACATATTCCCTCGCTACAGAGCTTTGGGTTTTAAAAGATGAAGTTATTATTGCTAGACACAAGCTTCTCTGAGCTTCTCATTGAATCGGACTCTGCTATTACCGTTCGTCTGCTTTCATCTCCTTGTAGTCATTCCCATCGACTTAGCACATTTCTCTTGGATTGCAGGGAGTTGCTTCAGCAGTTTGACCTCGTTGAATTTGCACATATTGTGAGGGAATGCCATATGTGTACTGATCAATCAGTAAGAATTGGGAGCTCATTGGGTCACCCCTTTTTGTTATTTTGGAGGTGTGACCCTCTTCCGTTTCTTCCTTTTGTACCACTGATGCCTATGGGGTTGTTTTCTCTCGGATCCCCTTGATGTAGTTGTGTTATTATTAATGAGATTAGTTATTTACCCAAAAAATCATTATTTTATAAGAATTTTATGGTTTACCATCTAAACAACATTACACTATAAAGATGATTAAATGGATAAAGCTTATAATATCAAAGGACCCAAACTTCATCTAACAATTATTGTTGTATAATATAGTGCATTTTTTCAATTTTATAAAATCACTGTATTCATGTTTATGATTTTCCAATCACAATGTTATTCGCATTTATGCCTTTTTAATCAAAATGTTGTTTTGTAGTTCGTGCTACTCATAGTATTGATATTTATAATTTTTTAACAGAAATGTTATTTTACACTCCATCCTACCTCAACCAGAAAACACTTAAACCATTCAAATTAAATATTCTATTTTTGATAATTGAATTATTAAAAATTGTTCAATTATAAAATTAGAAGTTATATCTTTCTTTTTTTAAAAAAAATAAATAGATATTGTATTTAATCTTTAACTTTTATTATAAAAGTATTAAATATTATCAAACATTTCATTTAAATTAAAACAGCCTTAATTAACAAGAAAAAAAAAATTGTCATATCGGTTAATTAAACAATTTTTGAAATATTATTTCCTTATTTGTACTAAATCTCCCCTTTATTCAAGTTTTCTCATTCATTCAATTAGTCAAAATCTAACTTCAAATCACCTTAACCTACATTCCCTTATTGAAAGTAAGAATAAATTGTGAAATTAAAGAGGAAGAAATTGATCACGGTAAACTTCATGCCAATCAAGTCTAAAAAGGCTCTTTTCCAAACATCATGTTCCAACACCACCCCCCCGCCCAAAAAAAAAAAAAAGAAAAAAAGAAAAGAAATTCATTTACATTACGTGATCAACAAGTCTCTTTTCCAAACATCATGCTATCAGCATAGAATAAGAAAAATCTGTTAAAACCGATAATTTATTCATCAATCCATACACAGAACGTAGTCTCTGGCACCAGGCAACAAAGCAAAACTCACTACAAAACATTCCTTTGCCATCAAATAGCTCCTACGTTGAACACTGATATCAGATACCACCCCGCGTAACTTAGCTCTCTAGCAAATAAGAAAAATATCAAGCATGATCCACCATAGCTCTCTAGTCAATAAGAGAAGTATCAAGCACGATCCACCATCTTATAACTGATTAATTTACCATAAAGTCACCAAGACAGAACAAAACACTGACTATCTAATAAATAATAAAATCCTTGATCAACCGAGCACACAACTGTTGTACATTACTTCTTGTTCATTTTTATGGAGAAGCCCGCCAACAATTATCAGAAGCTTCACTAAAAAATCAACCCACAAGGAAAACCTAAAATAATGTAACAGCAGCATTAGAAATATGACCTTTAATGTGCGTGCGAGAGAGGAAGAGAGAGATGCATTCATACCGCACGTTAAAACAAGGGAATGCCACCTGTCAAGCCACAATAAACATTGCTAAACCAAATGTAGCATGAGCAGGCGTTTCCCATATACAACTGCAAGAACAAAAGGGGTTGTTAGTAGAAGCATGTTAAACACACATCCACCTTCAATTCATTGAAGCAAAAGAAAGGGCTCCAGTCATGCATATATAGGCTCACAAAAAGTAAAAGCCTTCAATCTCAAGACTATTACACCATATGGTACGTTAATGTTTTCATTCCTTGTCCTTATAAATTCTAAATGAGCACAACCACATTAAAGGAGATAGAAGATATGGTTTTACAAACACTAAAAACACTTCAGCATGTGTCTTTAAAATATCATCTCCATGGGTGGGAGCTAATTGACGACAGAAATGTATACTTTCCTTGAAAGTAGACAATGATAAATCCAAAATATACAACAATAATCAATTTAACTAAGGGGACAAGGGGCAGTTACCTACAATATCCTGGAATAGATTGCAGCCCAGAGTGCTCCAAGTAAGGCAGGAGAACACAAAGGGCCTGAAGGCCTGCATCACCAAATACTGCACAACTAAGAAATTTGGAAAACCCACAAAACAAAATTAATACTTTCTCAGTAATGTTCTAACCTTTAGCAGCTTATTTTGACAGGCTTCATCTTAACTATGTAAATTACTTGCTAAAGCTCATCTCTGAGTATCTGCACATTTAAACAAAAATTAAAAAAAAAAAAAAAAAAAAGAAACATGGACAAAATTGTAACCAAGAAAAGAGATTTAGCACCCATCTTATGAAAAAGCACAACAATTGATACTTGCCTGCGAGGCTGCTTATTT